AATATATTCGTAACGTTGAAAAGATTATTATCATGAGTTCAATAAATGATGAAACTCAGTGAAAATTTGCGAATGCTCAACAAAACTTACACCAAAACGCAGCTGTTCACATGCACGATATTTGCAAATGCATTTTCAGCCATTTGATGCATGATCCTCATGCAAATTATCTGCATAAGGTTTGCAGTTGGTTCCCCCAAGTTAGTGGAGAAATTCATCTTCGATGTAACCATACACATATACATAACATATAGTGAATGTTTTAAGTGAATCTAAACGTTTGATGGGTAGTATATATAGCTGATCATGTGTGGACAATAAATACATAACGTAAAATACAATGGCGATGTTAGTTGTTAGCCAACTGATATATTTGGCATGACTTCACAGATTTCTCCATTTGCTGGCATCATTATCATCTAAACAACCCAAAGTATGAGTTGACGCGTGTTGATTTTCTCCATTTAGCCAGAAAGGACATATTGTAAAATACATTTAACCATACGGTTATGTCGTAATGGATAGTTGTTAAACTCATGTATGTAAAGACACCATATGATATGAAACGTTTTGTTTTTCTTTTATTTACTTTATTATTGTACTATGTAACCTGTTGCCATGAGATATCGAAACCAATCTAACCACAACGCAAAACCTCGGACAGTGCATGACGTGTCATACTTCTGTTTCAACCTGTCGAGTAATGCTCAAAATATACTCTTCAAAAAAAAGAAACTTGACATGCTGTTTTGGAGTTTATTTACTGAGTGCATATAACTGATTCAAACATGACATCAATTACAGTAAAATCATCACGTCGTTGCGACGTCTGTATACATGTGAACGTCCATCAACGTCTGAGAAGAAACCGAGACTCATCTGAGAACAAAATTGGCTTCCATCTTGCCCGCGGCCATCTCACTGTTTGTCTGCACCATTGTAGACGTTCTGCCTGGTGACGTTGTGTCAAGACGTTTTGTCGAACTGGTCTTCTGGTTAAAAGTCCGGCTTCCTGTAGCCGACTGTGTACTGTCTGGTCGGAGATTCGGCACAGTCCAGAGATTTTGGTTGTTATGGATGTTGCGGTCGTCGTGCGTGAACGAAGATGTCTAAACCGAATGTAGCGATCCTGGGCGGCGGTGGTAACTCTAGGTCGACCTACCAGTATTGTTGTGTCGGGTCCATATGTTTGAAATGGTCGGTCCTGAAGCACCTCCCACTTCATGCTGCGATGCCCCTCCTTGCCGATGGCGTTGTGTCGTTGAGCTTCTGTCAGTCTTGGCATTCTCTTGTCGTCTTTAGTGGCTTAAAGCAATGCATGTGGAGTACCGTTGATGTGGCGTTTTAAGTCATAGGCTTCAGCTCGGGGTGATACACAATTTCATGATGCACGTGCATTTTATGTAGGGTGCGTTTTAGCGATTCACTACAAACGTGAGTGTAACGTAACATTTTTGTTCAACGTTTCTTTTTTCAAACGTTTCGACGTCGACAACCATTCCTCCACATGTTGGGATTCAGCATGGATTGGTTTGTGCAAAATATTTTCAAATAAAGTAAAATTCAAGGCATCCGTGAAGAGCCACCTCCTCGTGGTGAGTGCTGGGTAATGCTAAGCCCTCTTCCCCCGTGTGGATCCGGGACAGAATGTGTCCACAGCACCCCATTGCTGGTCGTAAGAGGCGACCGAATTGGGCAACCTGTTTGCCGTGGGTTGCGCCCCTGTGTCGGTGGAGGACGGTAGTCTGGTGGCTGAGGGCCGTAGGAGCCTTGAACGGTGTTCCTTTTGCCCAATACACCACTTCGAGCCTAACTTCACCTAGACGGGTGGTAGAATGGGCCCGTGTCTATCAATCGGCTGGTCACGCCAGGCCCTGTGCATGGTGAATATGTGATAATTTGGTCTTGGCTTTTTTGGATTTTGGATTTATTGATATATTAATTTGCAATATTGAAAGAATAAGCATATTTATAGTTCACTACTGTTAAGATCACAAGCATTCAACATGTAGCAGGGTGGAACATATTATATTTTATTTTGGTATTGTTTGTTGGTTGGTTTTAATTATATTTTAAGCTTTAAAATATTGTTAATTTCATAATGAGGTAGGGACCCTCAGTACAACTCATTTAGAGCGTCGCCACCTATGTGAGGATAGCTCACAGTTCATATGATACTCAATTATTTTCATTCTGGCTGGCAACTTCACTATTGACACGCTTGTTTGGTCTTGAAAGAAAACAGAAGGTTAGTTTTATGTGTTATAATGTATTTCATTAAGGATAAACAGTACAAAAATATTTCAATTGGTTTGTGGTACTTTAAAGTATTACTGTTGGAAGTATCTGGAATGTTGAGATAAAATGCTTTTCAATATCTTGGTGATGTATTTGTGCAAAACTATTGCTTTAAAAATAAAATTATTTGTATTGCACTTGTGATGTATTTTATACTAGTGTTTTGCATAGCATTTATAATTTTGATATTGTGTTTAGATACTCACTATTGAAGGCGTTCTGATGAAGCACCAGGCATTTGATTCAGCCTATAGCTGGTACAGTCCGTTTGGGTTCGAATGAGAACTACAAATGATTAAATAGCTCGAAATTGGGATAAGTGAACAAAACATAAATAAGATGCATGTTCCTGAAACCTCTGTACCTAACAGGATCTGAAATCTACCTTTTCTTCGATCAAAAAACGGTGTTGGAGCTCGTCCTTTACAGTGACTGCCTTTAAAATTTGCCCTATTTGAATATTCTTTTCGAAATGTATGATGAGTTCACACGGCTGATTCCAGGAAGTGTGATAGGTTCACACTTTTATTTCATCCACAAATGTGAAAGGTTCTCACATTTATTTCATCCACAATTATGTAAAGTTCACACATTTATTTTTTCACCACTATTATGATGGGTCCACAAGGCAAACACGTCAGTAATCCTTGTTAACAGCATGTATTTGTACTTTGTGTCATATCATATTCTTGTGTTATTACTAATATCCTTTTTATTTTAGTTTTTCTAATATCAAATTATATGCAATTACTTTAATGCAAGCACAGATCAGGTTGTAGTCAACATAGTGTGTTGTTATCTTTTGCAATCATTTCTTTTTGTGTTTAATAGTCATGAAAATCCGTCTATGTTTTCAGACGCGAGAGCTATCACCGCAATTATCAATTTGGGAGGGAACCAGAACTTTGACCTGACTTTGAAAGGACACTGCCCTCGGTTCACACATATAAGGATGTTAAGTACAGCAAGCCCAATGCTTAGCGTGTGAATCTATTCTTAGCTTATGAATCTAAAAACAATTGGTGTGAGTGCAAAGAATCTGTACACCAGTAGGTTCTTGAAGTATGTCCGTTTTCCGAAGCACAATGACATTTAAATCTCAGAATTTTATTCAACTTAGGATAAAAGCTGTTAAACAAACGATCATTGATTCAAATCGCTATTATTGATTTTGATAACAAGGGGGTAAGCGCAGTAGATGGAACAGTGAAACAAATGCACGTGCGGTACGTGAGGAGCGTTAACTTAGACCAACCCTACTTGTTCTCGGTGTTTCATGTAATGTGCATACTCCCTTGTAATACAAACCAATAATAGCGATTTGAAACTATGATCGTTTGTTAAACAACTCTTATCCGAAGTTGAATAAAATTTTGAGATTTAAATGTTGAATTGGCAAGGTAAATTTATGAGGATTCGCAATCTTAATTTCACTTTATTCGATTTACTTCCATCGGTACGTTTTCGCTGCAAACAGACTATAACTTGGCTTCCGAACAGCTGAGAAGCTCAGTCAGTTTTTTGAATGTTTTGGCCAGACCAATAATACGTTCAATGTGAACTCTTTTGCTTGATATTTTCCTCTCACGTATAACACTCTTGCCAGACACACAGGGGGTTTTCTTTGAAAAGAATGTTGGCATATAAATGGTCACATCTTTGGATGCAAATATATATTGTACATCAAAACCTTTATCGGCCATGACACTGTCTCCTGGGTCACACAACACCATCAAACTACTACGCTCTACTATCTGGCGATCGCTTGTGGAACCGCTATATGCAGGTGACACATATGACACAAGACTACCTGGTGTAGATCCAACAAGGATTTTAATTGTATTACGATTCTTGTAGATTCAGTACGGAGACTGCTGATGCACTGGGGCGTTTAGGTTCTGGATTGGTTATTGAGTACCATCTATGATCATCCTTGTAGATGAAAATTTGGACTTGCAAAAGTTCTATAAGCCCCCATGGTCTCTGGTATGGTGATCTACCTTCAGTTGCTGGTGATCTTTAGCCTTTTTATATTGTATTGTCTTGCATTATAGCATAGGTTTTAAGTTACATGCTGGTTTTATATGGTATCTGTGATACACTAGTGGTTTTACTGTTCATCGTCAACATATATTTAGTTTCTAATTGTATTTCATTATTAATTACTATTAATTATAATTAATTGTATTCGTCACAATTACGGCTAAAATATTGCCGATGTGATGATAAATATCAACTCACTCACTCACTCACATGTGTGGGAAAGCCCCTATCCACATTACAGGATACCATAAACGAGAGGTTCAAAATTACGAGATGAGTATATTTCAGATGTCCCACGCCGTGATGTTTCTGGAATGTTGCTGAAGACACCTAAAACCGAACTAGTAAAAGTTAAACCTATGGTTTTTGTGCATCAAATGCTAGTTTTAATACATCAAGGAACTTTACTCGATAAATGATTCATCTCAGCCGGCGTAAATGGCATATTTTTGTCTTTTCTCGTCACACTGAGCAACAGTCTGATAGTGTAATGCCAACTTCGTGCACGTTGCATTCACTTATGTACAGAAATCTCACGGGGTGTGCTAACGTTTGACGTATGTGACAATAACGTGCATGACTTGAGCCCATATAAAGCGTCAATGCCCTGTGCAAATTCAGTTGGACGAAACACACCCATCAACAACTGGTCGTTCACCATGGCTACTTGTAAGAATGGTACAATACAGTTCCGCCTTCTGTCCCTCCGTCATGCTAGGAAGGAAGAGGAATTGAAAATTGTGGTCTTGGGAGGAGAAGGAGTAGGAAAGAGCACACTGATATCTCAGTTTCTTGATGGTGAGTTTCTTGAAAAATACAAAGGCACTTTTGAGACCATATACACACGACAATTTAAAGACAGGGGCGTGCGAATCAGTTTGGAAATTGTGGATATCACAAGAGGTGACTCTGTGCCTTCTTTGAGGCAAATGGCCATTGAGGACGGAGAAGCTTTCATATTGATGTATTCCGTTGTGGACAAAGATTCATTTGAGGAACTGTACAAATTCAGGGATCTTATTCTGGAGCTGAAAGGTGAGCAGAAACTTCCAATATTTATTATAGCCAATAAGGTGGACATGAATGCCGAAAGGAAGACTCCCATATGGCAAGTCGCCGATGCTGTGGCCACCATTGACCTGGAACATATGTACATGGAAGTATCGGCGGTAGACAAGGAACAAGTTGACAGGCTATTTCGTCAGCTGATCAGACAGGCGTGCATTGTTTACAAGGACAAATTTAAGCAGCCATCCCGAAGGATGACCCTTCCAACAACTCTGTTGACCAGCATCAAAAGAAAAGTGTCAGCTAAATAACATAGTGAATAAGTGACTTGGGTGTGATGCTGCTTTGAACATTATAACAGAAAAGCCCGAAATGTTGCAGGGCATCTACTCACAACTCAGACCATTTTGGTGAAACACACAAGAACTGGTGTGGCTTTAACAAACAAAGAAACATAAACGAGGCGAACTGCAATTCAAACACACTCTTGTGTCCAAGAGACACAAACCAACACAAAGAACTATGACACCTTAGACCACTCGGCCAAATATCAAAGACGGGTGATGTCATGCATCATCTTTGCTTACCACTGTACGTATACGTTAGCACCCTCCTCAAGGGTGATCTGGATTTCAACGCTCGAGCCGTCAGGCGAGTGCGTTGAATCCATATCACCCGCAGAGGGGGGGTGCTAACCTACTTATACGACGTGGGCGCCGAATGGACTTGTACATTGCTTGTTGCACGTGTGTTTCCTGCACCGCCAAGGTTGTTATCCACATATCAACCTCTGCACGTGCAGATAGAAGGTTGATACACAGAAAATCAACCTGCCAGAACAATGGACATAACATACCCTGGTGGTATAACATCTTTAGCACCCACAAGAATGGGTTGCTATTCTTGAAACTGATGTCATAAAAATTTCCACGCAGTTTGTATTACTGTATAAATTAGAACAAGATGGCATTAGGTTGGTACTTATAAGTTTCCTTGCACATACTTTTAAAATAAGAGGGTCCAAAGATGTGCGTTTTTCAGCGGATTTTGTTAAAATATGTTATCTCAATTGATTGGAATTGAACTCTTTGTAGATCCTTAAATCCCAAATAAAGACAAAGCTATTTCCAGATCATCTACTTTAAATGACAGTTTGTTGGCATATCCTTGCCGACCACTAGTGAAGTTACAGTTATCACATAAGAAAATCAAACTGGGAACTGAGATTGTTGTCAACGATGTCTCATCATATAGTGAGGTACGTTGACGTCATTGTTGATACAATAAATGCGTTAGATGTCTGTCTAGCACTGTTGTATTATGTGGGCATAATGTGCCATTTCCGTAAAAGAATAAACCTTGATACCAATACGTACTACGCTTGTTCGTTATTCTGGAGTGGACAACCGCTGACTACATACTGAAAGCAACGGTCAATGCAATCGGGATAGGCACCCGTGAAGAGCCACCTCTTCGTGTCGGGTGCTGGGTAACGCTAAGCGCTTTTCAAAATAAACTCAACATGGTTTACGAAACCCCAAACAAACAAACGAAGCGTCCATTCGATACTGATGACGACGAACAGCGACCCTCAAAATCCGTTGATTACTGGCCACCTTTTCTCGTTATTGAGACTCTTGATAAAACTCCATTGAAGCTAAATCCGTTTGCAATATCAAAAGGTGTCCACGGCATAGCAGGTGAAATTAAAAACATTAAACGCTTGCGTACAGGAGCTCTATTACTCGAGTGTCACAGAAAACAGCAAGCAACCAACCTACTGTCCACAGAGCTGTTTGTAGGAGTTCCGGTTATGGCCTCTGCACACAGAACACTGAACACAAGTAAGGATATTGTACGAGACCGAGATCGTCTCTTTGCAGATATGACGGAAATTGACATTGTTACGGAGATGAAAGATCAAGTAGTCCTTTACGTGAAAAGGTTTACAACCCGTAAAAATAATGGAATTGTGCAAACCAATACATATCTCTTTTCTTTCTCTGCCCCAAATCCTCCATCATCAGTCAAGGCAGGTTACTGCAATGTAAAACTTGACGTGTACATCCCAAATCCTCTGCGGTGTTTCAAATGTCAGAAATACGGACACAGTGTTAATACTTGCACATCGTCTGTTGTGTGTGCTCACTGTGGTGAGAAGACACATACAACAGAAGATTGTGTCAGCACCTTTGAGAAGTGTACCAATTGTGCAGGTGATCACTCATCGTTCTCAAAAGTATGTCCCATTTGGAAACAGCAGATGGAGATAAATAAGATAAAGTTTACTCAAAATATCAGTTTTGCTGATGCCAAAAAGCTTGACTTGAGATCGGAAATTAAGGACACTTCTGCTTCTAAACCCAAAACATCTTCAGACACAACCCCAACAGTAACTAAATCATCTGCCAGCTGTCGGACGAACTTGACTTGGATAAAATCAGATTCTCCCAAGATTTTGTCACCTGCAATATCTACACAAACTGCAGAAACACTTCCTGACACACCCCAAATCCAATCAGAACCATCTTATGACCGCGACACATCTTCTCAATCAACGTCAAACAAAAACAAAGGCAAACCGAAGCCAGATTCTTTGAAGAAACAAAGTGGCAGAGCCCCAAAAGGGTCAGATGATAAAATCAAATTATTTAACAATTCGGATCACTGGAGGACATGGACGTGTCTGAAAACGTCCATTCTAGGGCACATAGCTTGTCGCCCTCGAAAAAGGTGCGGGGTAGATCCCCTATTAACCCACCTAAAAGATAGGTCTATCTAAACATATCGTGCAGTGGAACTGTAGAGGACTACGGACTAAATGAAATACAGCTATTGATCCAGGATTTAACGCCATCAGCGTTCTGTCTGCAAGAGACGTGTCTGAAACGGACAGATAATTTTAGCACACGTCAGTTTGCCTATCATTTTTTTTTCACCTCTGGGTGATAGGGCCACTGGAGGTTCTACTATCCTTATACGACAGGATATTATTCACAGCCCTATTACACTTAACACTAATCTCCAAGCTGTTGCAGTGCGACTTTCTCTGGGTGTAGCATTTACATTATGTTCTCTGTATATTCCGCCTTCATCGGCGCTTCAACAGACTGATCTTCAATCACTCTATGATCAACTCCCAAAGCCATGTGTTATTATGGGTGACCTAAACGGTCACAACCCGCTCTGGGGCAGTACTAACACTAATACTAAAGGCAAAATACTTGAAGATTTCATTTCCAATAATGACCTGTGCATATTTAATGTTGATTCAAGCACCTATCTGCATCCTGCAACTGGCACTTATTCTCTTGCAGATTCTAACCTCCTGAATCAATTTGATTGGTCTGTTCATGACCTTTGTGGAAGTGACCACTTCCCAACTATCCTTTCAGAAATAACGCCATGTGATTCTCCATCGCATACAAGATGGAACTTTTCTAAGGCTAACTGGTCTTTATATCAAACTATATGTAAATCGAAACTGCAACCTGAATGTTTCAGTGATATAACTGATCCCATTCAAACTTTTGCTGACGTTTTAAATGAAATAGCTGATGAGTGTATACCAAAGTCCTCTACGACTCCTCATGTACGAAAACCATGCTTTAACATAGATTGTAGACAAGCCAGAAAAGCGAGGAAAAAGGGAGAGCATTATTTCCGCCATCATCCAACTGTCCATAACTTTAAAATAAATTTAAAATACTCAATGCAAAGGCGCGTCGTGCCTTTAAACAAAACAAACGACAATCTTGGAGAAATTATGTCTCAAAAATTAATTCACGCACGCCAATGTCTAAGGTATGGAACATGGTTCAAAGAATTAAAGGCAAAGGTTCAAAATCTGCTGTTCACCATCTTAAAGATGGTGATAATTTTATTACTGACAAGTCTAAAATTGCAAATAAAATTGGCGAAACTCTTGCCAAAACATTTTCATCGGCAAATTATGTCCCTGAGTTTCAGAGATATCAGAAACAACAGGAAAAGACAAAACCTAATTTCGAATCAAATAACGGTGAAGATTATAATGAAGTGTTTTCATTACATGAGCTACATACTGCTCTTGAGCAAGCTCATGGCACTGCAGCGGGTGATGATAATATACATTACCAGTTACTGAAACACTTACCTGAACCATGTCTGATGACACTTTTGGATATATTTGACCAAATATGGACGTCTGGAGAATTTCCTCCTTCGTGGCGTAATGCCATTGTACTCCCAATACCAAAACCTGGCAGGGATCATACAGATCCGTCTAATTACAGACCGATATCTCTAACTAGCTGTGTCTGTAAAACCATGGAACGTATGGTGAATAATAGATTAACTTGGTATCTTGAAACCAATAACCTTATAACAAATATTCAATGTGGTTTCAGGAAAAATCGTAGTACCATTGATCATTTGGTACGTTTAGAATCCTTTGTTAAAAATGCTATAGTAAATAAACAACATGCTGTATCAAATTTCTTTGATCTTGAGAAAGCTTATGATACGACCTGGAAGCATGGCATTTTAAAGGATTTTGGTTTGGGGGGTCGTTTACCTCTTTTTATATCACAGATTTTAAGAAACAGACAATTTCAAGTCCGAGTGGGTTCAACCCTGTCTGATCATTATAATCAGGATCAGGGTGTCCCACAAGGCAGTATTTTGTCTGTCACATTGTTTAGTATCAAGATAAACAGTTTATCCAAGGTCTTAAACGATTCAATCGATGGATCACTTTTTGTGGATGATTTTAATATTTCTTGTCGTGGTAAAAATATGCATACTATTGAACGGCAATTGCAGTTGTGTTTAAATAAAATAGATAAATGGTGTCTTGAAAACGGCTTTAAATTTTCTAAATCAAAAACTAATTGTATACATTTTTGTAGAAAATATAAGCCTCATAAGGACCCAGAACTATCTTTAAATGGCACTCCCATCAAAGGTGTAAAGGAGGCCAAATTCTTGGGCCTAATTTCGATTCCCATTTAACATTCCTGCCACATATTAAATCCCTTAAAGCTAAATGCCTGATGGCACTCGATTTGTTGAAAGTTGTTTCCAACTCAAAGTGGGGAGGGGATCAAGCTACCCTCCTCCACCTATATCAATCATTGGTCCGCTCGAAACTTGATTATGGCTCCATCGTATATGGTGGAGCCTGCAAAGGCAACTTAAAACTACTTGATTCTGTCCATCACCAAGGCCTAAGAATTTGTCTTGGGTCCTTTAGAACCTCTCCTTTTGATAGTCTCTATGTTGAAGCAGATGAGCCTTCTCTTACACAACGCCATATAAAAGTATCTTTACA